AATCAGCATGCCATTTGTTTTTAAATCCTCTGCCTAGGGTTCTTTCAAGAGAACCTGGTGAAGCCACCATGAATGTCTTATTCTCCTGGATTAATGGGTCACATAACTGTGAACACTTGGATAAAGTAGAACAGATTAGAACATTGTGGAAATTATGGCAAAGATTCATTAGACAGTTTTTGGCAACAAAGTGATTGGCTGGTGGCCCATCCTGACCTTCTCCAAGGAGGCCTACTTTTGAGAGGAAGGAAGACTAGGTCTCTGGTGGTATAGGATGAAACCTTGCCCTGCGGAACTTGGAGCAGTGTGGTTAAATTGGATGCCAGGGGAAGAGGGTCCTGAAGGTGTAAAGGAGAGTCAGAAGGTGCCACAGTGGGCCGGGCGCGGTGGCTCAAGCCTGTAATCCCAGCACTTTGGGAGGCCGAGACGGGCGGATCACGAGGTCAGGAGATCGAGACCATCCTGGCTAACACGGTGAAACCCCGTCTCTATTAAAAAATACAAAAAACTAGCCGGGCGAGGTGGCGGCGCCTGTAGTCCCAGCTACTCGGGAGGCTGAGGCAGGAGAATGGCGGGAACCCGGGAGGCGGAGCTTGCAGTGAGCTGAGATCCGGCCACTGCACTCCAGCCCGGGCGGCAGAGCGAGACTCCGTCTCAAAAAAAAAAAAAAAAAAAAAAAAAAAGAAGGTGCCACAGTGGCTAGAAAAATGACAGCATGTAGGAATTTTGAAAGATGGAAAAGAAGTTATTTGTCAGAGATTAAAAAGTAGGGAAGTGGATTTCCCCTAAGGGTCATGCCCTTAGAAGCAGCCGGTCAAGTAACAGAGGTGGGCATTTTGAGAGCAAGGCACATGTGTCTCTGTGTAAGCTCCAAAAAGTGACTCAAAAAGCAGAGGGCCCTGAGATTGGAGTGTACCTCTGGGGTCCTCCATCCCATCTCTCATAGCCTGTGAGTGACCAGGCAGTTCTTCCCTGTGCTTTTATCAACCAGTGGGAAACACTCCTCCATATGTGCTCTCCCAGGCCCGCTGCAGTAATCAGCTAAAGGCTATACAGGTACCGTTGCATGTGAGGTTCTAGTAATTGGGATGTTTTTCCAACTTAGGTATGATCCAGGCCCTGGGCGGCTTCTTTACTTACTTTGTGATTCTGGCTGAGAACGGCTTCCTCCCACTTCACCTGTTGGGCCTCCGAGTGGACTGGGATGACCGCTGGATCAACGATGTAGAAGACAGCTACGGGCAGCAGTGGGTGAGTGGGCGCCTCTGACCTGACCAATGTCAGAGCTCCTCAAGCCCCAAAAGACTGAGGCCACACTGCCACCGGCCATGCAGGTGAAGAGCCAGAGCTCATCTTCTGCCTTCTGCATTTCAGACCTATGAGCAGAGGAAAATCGTGGAGTTCACCTGCCACACAGCCTTCTTCGTCAGTATCGTGGTGGTGCAGTGGGCCGACTTGGTCATTTGTAAGACCAGGAGGAATTCAGTCTTCCAGCAGGGGATGAAGTAAGTAATGAAGGACATATCAGGGCCTTGGCTCAAAGAAGGGGACTGGTGATTTGTAAACCCTTTGCCAAAAACTCAACATGTGACACATATAGCCAGGTTTCTGGAATCCCTAGTTTATAGGGCAAATTTAGGAAGCAAGAAATGTAATTTTCTAGTTTTTTCACCTGACCTCCAAGTTTTCAAGTACAGCTAATATATAAAGATGTTGATCTGCCATTTTAATGCATAGCATTAAAAGATAAACCTTTATTTGCATCTTTTAAGCTTTTTCTCCCCCACTTTGATTTTAGGAACAAGATCTTGATATTTGGCCTCTTTGAAGAGACAGCCCTGGCTGCTTTCCTTTCCTACTGCCCTGGAATGGGTGTTGCTCTTAGGATGTATCCCCTCAAGTAAGTTGATCCTCTTGTAGCTCCAAAAAGTATGAAATAGTATGTGTGGCTTGTCCCCCCATTATTTGTGGTAATAGCTGTTATTTTCAGAATTTTTAGTGGTATATACAAAAATTCCCATGGATCAGAAAACTGGGAAAGCTTTACATGTCAGTAAATCAGACTAACAAATCCTGAGGCTTCCATGATAGCAGCTAGTGCTTAGGATTTGGCCCAAGGTAAGATAAAGCCACACAGGCTTTAGCTCCATGGAACAGCAAACCACATTGAACACTCAGGTCTACCACAGCTGTAGTCCAGTTGTCTTTAGAGGCCAACTGGGGGTACCCTGGAGCTTAGGCGCCCACGCTCAAATCTTGATTTGCTTACTTAGTCACTGTCCCATTACAAGTCCTCCACCTTTCTGGGACTCTGAATCCTCTGCTCTCAAAGAAGGTTGGAGAAGCAGATCTAAGGTCCCTTTTACTTCATAATCAGTCATGGGTAGAGTTGATGAAACACTGCTAGTCTTTGGCCTTAAACGCAGTGAATGACTCTGCATTTCAGATAAAGTTGAATTTTCAAATAGAGGGTTTATCACAAACTCCATTAGCTTTTTGCAACATTGGTTATGTTTGGTGATACCTGGTAACTGATACCTGATTGAGGTTAAGCAGCTGCAACTTGATTAAAACGTGCAAAGCCACAGATTGTGGGATCCATTTACAAGTTCCTTCGAAGCTTTTGATTTAAAGCATTAGTCTCCTTTGAATTCCCACTGTCCCCATCCTTGCTTACACCCGTCTGGACCATCTCTCAATCCCCCTGTTGCCAGCACTTCCTTTAGCTCATCTTATCCCTAAAGTAACCAGAACTCATCAGCCTCATTCACTTTCTGTGGGGTATGTGCAGACATCGTCTGTGGTGCAAGATGAGACTGGCATCCAGAGTCACTCTCATTGTTCCAACCTGTCTTTATAGCTTTATCTTGTATTCCTTACCCATCCAAGCTCATGTTAGGTGAATTCGACTTTCTTCCTCTTCCTTTGTATTTGGTAAGGATGCTTCCTCCCCACATCCCTCCTTCTGTTCCCTCCTACCCTGCCAATCCCGATAGTCCCTTCAAGGCCAGTTTCCTTAGAGCTTGTCCCTCCAGGGCCTGTGCACTTGCACCTCTTCTCTGGCATTACTTGTTGCTTATCATTTCACCTCCCTGCTAGGTTTTAATCTAGAAGGCATGGGCCACAGTGTCTTTCTTCTCTGTGCATTCCTAGCTCCCTACACAAAGCTGGTGTACAGCAGGGGCCAGCATCTCCAAATTGAATTCTGTCAGCTTGGGCCATTATGTATCAAGAAGGGGCTGGGAGAGGTCACAGAGCTTTCCAAAAGGGCTGATGGAAAATCACACTGTAAAGGGGGCATTTCCATCTTCTGGGTCCTTCCATGGTGTTTTTTTGTTTGGTTTGTTTGGTTTTTTTTGGTTTTTTTGCCACCACCAAAGAGATTGTTCTGACAGGTTCTGCCCATTTTTGGAAGGTGGTTCAGTTATTCGGTGACTGAGTCAAATGAGGTCATCTCTCTTAGCTGCCGTGTCAGACACAGGAAGAAGAGGAGACCCACCAGTGTCCTGCCCAGGGACAGCCTTTCTCACGTCATAGCAGGGAGCTGGTGATCATGGAGGCTGCCTGGAGCCTGTTAGCAGGCTGGAGACTGTGTGGCTCAGCCTCTGGGCCCCTTGGAAGTCTTTGGGCTCAGCTTTTTTCAGTCCCCAGGACCAGGACTCAGAATACAGAGCTGCATATCCCAAATGCTGTTGTCAGAGATCAAATTTGGGGAATGAATAAACTGGTTTTGACCCACACTGGCAGGTCTTTATCTTCAAATGCTGGGATATTAGGCAGATGGTCTTAAAAGCTTCTTAAACACTTTAGAAATGAAAGAAAGAAAAAAATGTTCAGTTGCTCTGGGATGTTTAACAGAAAATGTACTCTGCTCATCCTATAAACCAACTCTTATGAAACCCAAACTGAAGATGAGTAGGGATTCCATTACAAAGTCTGCAGACTGATTTCCTCTGCGTCTCTAGGCCCTGGGCACATGGAGCAGCAAGCAATCTGTTTTAAGACATTTTTATTTGTTCTGTTAATGACTCAGTAGTTAACTGTGACTGTACTTGGCGTCTCCTTTCAGACTGATTACTTCATTGTCACTGTGGTGACGTGCAATTTCTCTTTCTTTATTTGAACTGTGTTCGCGTGCGTATAAATTGGTACCTCATTCTATTTCCAGACCTACCTGGTGGTTCTGTGCCTTCCCCTACTCCCTTCTCATCTTCGTATATGATGAAGTCAGAAAACTCATCATCAGGCGACGCCCTGGCGGTAATTATGGGCATTCTGACTTTGGTTGGAGGAGAAGCGGGGAGGGGCTGTAGTTCTGTTGGCTTTTTGTTTCCCTTGAGGTGTCTGGGCTCCCTCAGTGGTCAGTCTGATTAGCTAAGGTGATTGGACCAGCAAACTGACCATAGTCACATCTTCAGAATGTAGATCTCAGTTACAGTTTGAGGACTGGTCATGTTTTAGACTTTAAAATACAAACCAAGTATGATTTAGTGAAAATTTGTCAGAAATCTAAACCATCTTTCCAGGTAACTTGGTATTCCTAAAAAACATTTAAATAAGTAGAGTTGAGGTCCCATGTTGAATTTGGATTTTAACACATCCTAGCCCCGTCATCCTCAGGTTGGTTTTCATCCGTTTCCCTCTGTAATGCTGGAGTGTGGAAGATTCACTGTTGTGTCTTATCTGTCTCTTTGCCACCCACAGGCTGGGTAGAGAAGGAAACCTACTACTAGCCCCCCGTCCTGCACGCCGTGGAGCATCAGGCCACACACTCTGCATCCGTCACCCACCCCCTCTTTGTGTACTTCAGTCTTGGAGTTTGGAACTCTACCCTGGTAGGAAAGCACCGCAGCATGTGGGGAAGCGAGACGTCCTGGAATGAAGCATGTAGCTCTATGGGGGGAGGGGGGAGGGCTGCCTGAAAACCATCCATCTGTGGAAATGACAGCGGGGAAGGTTTTTATGTGCCTTTTTGTTTTTGTAAAAAAGGAACACCCGGAAAGACTGAAAGAATACATTTTATATCTGGATTTTTACAAATAAAGATGGCTATTATAATGGAATTTGTCTGTGCCCTCGTCGCTTCTTTGGTACAGATGTCTATGTGATCTGGAGCTGTGGTTTTCAACATGTGCATCCCTGACCAGCATTTTATCAGCATCACCTGGTTGCTTGCTAGGAAGGTGGGCCCAGACCCACTGAGTCAGAGATGCATCAGCAATGTGGCTTAATAAGCCCTCGGGTGATTCTGATTTACATTCAAGTTTGGAAACCACTGGCTAAGAGGAAGCATTCTGCCCATGCTCTTTTATTTGGAGTAGGTGAGTTTACCTGACATATTTTTTCTGGCTGCTGCCTGGGGTGATAGGGCTGTAACTCCACCTGCTGCTTTCGCATCTGGCTTTTTGATGGAAAAGCACCTTGCCTAAAGGACTTCCAGAGCCTCAGGGTATAATAAACTGCAGATGAGGCCCTTCTCTTCCAGTCTGAAACACAGACCTGAAGCCTTCCTGCTTTCCCTCCAGAGATCACCACCACATCTCAAGTATGTCTAGCCCAGGGCTTATCTGAGAAGCAGAAATCTATCCCACACAGTCTGCCTGGGCATGTGTGCTGAGAAGTGGTTCCCTTCCTTCCATATAATGTGTTCCTAATTTAGCATCAATGACACAATTTCAGCAAGTGGTTATGTGCCAGCAGGCACTCAAGAAAAAGGTGAAAGAGATGTGTTTACTTCAGGGTCAAGTCTGAGAACACCTCCTGCTTTCAGAGCTGCTGTAAAAGGCTCCCCTCAGTCTCAGCCATGAGTGGTGCAGAGTGCTGTTAACTGCTGGTGCTTCTCCCAGGCTGTCATTGCCAAGTGTCACCTCCAAGCAAACACAACAAGCAAACTCCTTACCTCTGGCACCAAACTGATCGTGATCTGCCAGATGATCATAGTGTCTTTTTTCTCTGAAAAGCTTAACTCAGTCCTCATGCTTGGTTGCTGTGCATTTCCAAGCTGGGCCAATGGGGGAGAGGGCAGGAGTGACTCCTGTACACTGGGGCTGTGGTTGCTGCACCCACCCACTCCAGCCGCAGAACCCACCAGGGGCAGGTGGTCTTGGACTCTCCTTTCTTGGGGCACTTCCCCTGGGATGATCTCTACATTTGTCTGCAAGTCATCTTTAAAATGTGTCATTTGCTCAGACCAAGATAAGGAAACTACGATGAAACTAACAGAACTAAAAGATCTTGGGATTAGAGGGTTGTGAGTCAGGTAGCAGCTAGATCCTCCTGGAAGGCACTTTACTGGCCCAGCTGTGACGGCAGGGCCAGTCACACAAGACGTCTCTTGTGAGCTCAGGCTGGCACACTGGTGGTATCCATACCTCGACTCCCTGTATGTCTACTTTTGGCATCCCTGGAGAAAGACCAGTGCACTTAGCTGCTGTGATGGAGGTCGTGGGCATTTCCTGATGCAAAAGATTTGAAACACTGAGACTTTAGCTTCTGATGAGGGGACCCCAGAGAAAGCTAAGCCAGTGTTTCTCTGACAGCTCTAAGAAGCCCTGGTCTTCTGGGGAAACCCTGGAGGGAGCGAGGCAAAAGGCAGGCTCTGAACTTCCCACTCGATTTTCCACCAGAATATTTCTGCCCTTTACTATGTGACAATCCTTTGAATAAAAAGTTTTACAGCCAAACATTTGATTTAGGAAGAGCAGGTAAGTGAGCTGCTCTTCAGGGGTAAAGCTGGCACCAAAGCCAGGCCTGCTGTGGGTTACAGCTTTCCTAGCTTTCTAAAAGCAGGAATGCTTGGGCTGTCATTTCTACCTCTACGCTCAAACTCTCCTCCTGGCCCTGTCACTAGCAGCTAAAATCACTCCAGAGGATTCACAAGCAGCTTCTCAAAATGGCCCTCAGCACTGTCAATTCCCTACAGATCTCTGTCTCTGACCCCCCTTTTAAATGCCTTCCTAACACTTTTGACCACATACCTTTTTCAATATATGGGCCCTCACTGATACGTTCAACTTCTTAAGGACCTTCTCAGCATTTAAATTGGAGTCTTATCCCTTTCACATCCTGACCCCTACCCCTTTCTCTAGCTATCACCCTCCCTCATGGACAAACTTCTAGAAGAGTCACTGCCACTCCTAATTGTTCACCTCCCAATCATCCCTCTGCCTCTTCCAGCTCCCATGAACACCAGTTCACAGAAATTGTCTGATTGAGGTCATTCATACTGACCTCCTGATGCGTCTTAGTCCTTCCTTGACCTCTGCTGCATCTCTTCCATCCATCACACACTTCCTGAAACCAGACCTCCCACCTTCCTGTCACTGTCTCTGTGCACTCCTTAGTTCTCAGCCCCCTCTTCACCGGCTTGACCCCTCGCTTCCTCAGGGAGGGCCTCCACACCTTCTCTCCCTGCTTCATACTCTTCCTGGCATGATTTCCAGCTCTAATCTGGTCCTCTCCTGAGCCCTGGATGTACAAATCCAGGACATCTGCATTTGTTCAGAAAGAGCACAGCATACTTGAGTCTTAGTACCAATGGCAAGCCTAAGTTTGAGGTTCCACAAATAAATATGCTTTAGGCAGTGATGACATTCAGCACCCTACTATTCAAGGCAGAAACCGGAGAGGTGAGTGAGCCCTCTCTTTTCCTGCTCTGCCCCTCACCCAATTACTGTGGATTCCAGTGTTGTGGTAGAGAACGTAGACTTTGTGTCTTTTAACATAGACACAGATAGTGACCCATCACTGAATGACGAAGGGCACATAATTAAGCCTCTTTGTGCTTCCTTTACTCTAGAATATTTCAGAGCTGTTAAAAGGATTAAGTGAAATTATGCATAAAAGGGAGTCTCATAGTGGCTGCTGTTCAATAATTCATTCTCTCTACTGCCAGTGTCCTTTACATCTGGGTGCCTGAAGCAGCTTTTTGGTGGTATCCCTAATTTTTGCCTTTCTCTAATCCAGCATTTCTCAAAGTGTTTCTGGACCAGCAGCATCAGCATGTTAGAAATGCAAATTCTGATGCAGACTTACTGAATCAGAAACTGGAGATGAAACCCAGCAATCTGTTAAAGCAGCTTTCCAGGTGATTCTGATGCACAGCAAAATCTAAGAACTAATGCTCTAATCCACCCTCCAAGCCCACATGGCTGCCCCTCTCCACCATCCATCTTCACACTGGACTCCAACACATAAACCCATTTCTGCTCAGCCATTCAAACTCCTGTGCAGTCCCCTAATGTGCCATACACCCTTTCTTCTGCCATCCTATAAGTCCCTTTGGCATTCTCCCAACCCACCCACCTTACCCCCGACCTTCATTCACTTGGTAAATCCACTCACCCTGTGAATACCCATTAGGTCTGGATCCTCACTTTTGCACACCTTAGTGTAGCATTTCCACTTCTGTTGATTGCCTGTTCCCAGATAGACTATGAGTTCCTAGATGACATGGACCAGGCTATATCCTCCCCAGCATCTAATGCTATGGATGTTTACTGAATGAATGGATGCATGCATATTTTTCTGTTGCCCAAACAGCCATCATTTTAACATTTAACTATCACTTTGAGTCTGCTTCTTGGCTTAGGGCTGCCACTTTAGCCAAGGGAAATCCATGCCCCGACTTGCTACCCATCTGTGAGTTAGGGCCTCTCCTCTCTCAAGACTTTGAAGTTAGAGAGGGTAAGAATGAGTCATGCATGGAATTAGGGTGTTAGAAAGTTGAGTGGGGACCCATGGCAAGCAAAGGTACTAGGTAAAGAGATCCACAAAGACAGAGACACCAAGAGGAACAACAGCCCCGGACCTGCCTGGTTCCAGAGCTTTTTAGTCTCCGTCCTGGGCCTCTAATGCTCTCACAAGAAACCCCTCCCTTCCCCCATCTAGACTGGAATCTCTCATCAGATAGTTGATAAGTACTCTATATTTCTTCAAAGAACTCACAATTCTAATTATCTGTATTACTCAGTTATGTAACTATTAATTTAATATCCCTCTTTTTTTCCTGCTAAGCTTTATGAGGTCATAAAGCCAATCTGTTCTTTCCATGTTATCCCTGGTGCTCAGCTCAGTGCCTCACAAAGAAAACTAAGCACTTAGCACAGGGGGTCAACACTCCCTAGTGAAGGAGGAGGGCATAGAGGCAAAGGGACTTGTCCATGGTATCCTGTGGTTAAGAAGAGAAGGCAAGGCTGGAACAAGACTGGAATGGGTGGGTCTCACATTTCCCACCAGCTACGCTGTGTGCTGCCCTCCTAGATGCAAACCTGAGTGCACAGGATGTTCGGGCGTGCACAGTGGGAGGCATCTCCTGGCTGGGCTCAGGCTTGCTGGTGGGGCTACACAGGATTTGTGCCCACAGACTTTCAAGTGCTGGGTTTCCTTTTCAGCCCCAATCCCTCACTCGTGTGTCTGGAGACAGTGTAAGTCTCAGTAGTGGGTTGGGAGACCTGGATACTGGGCGTATTAGGTGGATAATGTGGGCAAGTCATGTGGTCTCTCCAAGCCTGTCTGTAAAATGGAGGTGACCCCCGTTCCTACTTCATGAGGCTATTATGAAGACTAAGTGAAGGAAAATGTGGAAAGGGCTAAGTACAGTGACTGGCCCTTCATCATAGTTCAACAAAAGGTCACTCACCTCCTACACCCGCCCACACACACATCTCCACCCCAAACTCTGCTCCAGATGTTTCCTGAAGATAAACCCAGGGGAACGCACTGCTCTTCCCACCTAATGGAAGTAGCTACTTACTGTATAGTGGTTGTTACATGCCAGGCAATGTCCTAAACTATGACCATTTCACAAGTGAAAAAACTGAGCCTCAGAGAAGTGAAGTAACTTGCCTGAAGTCACACAGCCACAAAGTGGCAGAGTTGGGCGAATCTGCCTGAACCCAGACAGGCTCGAATCCTGGGCTCCCAACATGCTAGGGCAGTTCACTGTGGTGGTAGAAAGCACTAGCAGGGGCCAAGAATAGGAGAAGGGCAGTGTTTTTATGAAAAACAACAGGGAAGGTTAGAGTTGGTGTTAAAACATAAGATCATGGAAAGTTTCTTGGAAATTAAGCACATGCTGTTGAACAGTTACTCAAATGGATTTGCCCCCAGGAGCTGCCAGGTGATCAAGCTGCAACTTGTGTAACTGGGGAGCAAGAAGGTGGGAGGCTCTAATCCCAGGCAAGCTCGGCATTGCCTCTCCTGTTAGGTGAATGGGCAGATCTGCTCCCCCAGGCTGCGGCTGTCTGCGTACAGGGATGTGTCCCTTGCCTCCTGTGGGCTGTAGAGAGGCCTCCTCTGTGTTCATGATTGTCCTTCAGCTGACAGAAGTTTTAACACTGTCCCTTCTGGCCCTGTCTTCTATAAGAAGCAGGGATCTCATCCCTTCTCATCTCTTCCCTTCCCATTTAGGACTCTGATGCAGTACAGTTAATCTGTGCATAGGAAAGAAGAGCTGTTTAAAGAGGTTATTCGGTAAATGCAGAGAATGTCTTTGTAGTATAAATCATTGTTCTATTTAAAACTGCTTGTAGGTTTTTGTTGGTGGTGTTTTTGTTTGTTTGTTTTAGAGATGTGGTCTCACTCACCATGTTGCCAGGCTGCTCGCAAACTCCTGGGCTCAAGAGATCCTCCTAACTTGGCCTCCCGAAGTGCTGGGATTATACCTATGAGCCACAGTGCCCAGCCTGGTTACAAGTTTTTAAAGTTTTGCTAAAATGACAAGCATCTGAGGACATTATTGCCAACTATATATTGTCCCAGAAACAAACATTCATCCTTTACTATAAAAATCTTCTGTGTATGGGTTCTCTCCCAAAGAAGAGACAGCAAAATGCTCACAGCCAGCTCTTCACCCGATGTGCATGTGCCAGGAGAGAAGCCCAGAGTCCTTGCTGGTCACCCAATCCAGTTCCCTTATCACTGGTGCCAACAAGGCAATGTTTTCTAAGGGAAGGGAAACCAACATTTATTGAACATGTACTACTGCCCACAGCACTATTTTGGGGACTTTTTATTTCATTTCATCCTATGAAGTAGCTAGAGGTAAATACAATCCCCACTTTGCAGAGAGGGAAATTGAGAGGTTAATAGCCTGTAAGAAGTGGTTGAGAGTATGTTTGAACACATATCTATAAGCCTTAATCTTTCCACTAGATCAAGCTGCTTCCCATTAGGGACATAAAAGAACCCTGTGTTGCCACTGGAGGTTTTTACCTCAACATACCCTAAAGCCAGAGACTCCCATATACTAATGTGGACTCATCAGATTCTTGTGGGTCCATACACTTGAGCAGCTAGCTAGGTATACTTATTCCAAATGAGTAGCTAATAGATAGGCATGGCAGAAACTTATTAGTTGTTCAACAAACCATACCCATTCTTCTTCCTAAGCACCCACCTTGAACACATTTCTCACCCCAACTTGTGGAGGTACAGCCATGTGACTGTTCTAGGC